AGCAGGATCAGGCCCAGGGCAGTGGGATATTTCCTGAAAGGTGCCAGGTGGAGGTGGCCTGCCTAGTTTTTTGGGGCATTTTGGGGGAGGTGGGGATTAACGGCTTGCAAAAATGGCACATCCATCCTGCTTCAGGAAGCAGCAGTTGCACAGACTGGCTACACTTGCTCCCATAATCAGCTTGCTCGTCTCATTTGCATGTGTAATAACCAGCATGTATGTACAATCATGCTAATCACTTTGAGGCAACTGCTTTGAATTCATCTAACACCCTGCCCTGCCTGCCCTTGGGTTATTTAGCTTCCACAAAGGAACCATAGGAGCAATCCAGAGATTCACCTCACAAAAATCTTTGTGAAACAGTCACAAAGTGACTGAGTGAAGGAGAAGTTTTTTTCTGGAATCCTGCCCACACATACTGAGACTTGCACTACCAGCCAGTGCCATCATTAGGAGCCCGTCCAACAACTTCTGCAAGTAACTAGAAAAGTACCTAGTGGGGATTTTCACAATTTATGGTGTGTTGCTGCAGGTGAAATGTAAAAGTAAATACAGAAGGAAAGAGGAAGGGAACTACAGAGCTTCTCTCATGCAAGCTGTTAGTGAAAATGGTCTGAAAGTAGTGCAGGGAAAAACTAGCCTTTAACCCTGTCAGCTTTATGAGCAGCTTAAGGATTGTCTGCACTGCTCTTCTGTGGACACCTTCCCAGTAAGACCTGGCCTGTCAGGGCTCCTGTCATTAGGTCCCATGAAGTCCATGTGAGGACAGGGGAGAACATCTGCCATGGATGTGGCTCCAGAAGTACATGGACTCCTGCACCTGCCTGTGTCACCAGTGTGTGCTCAGGCCAGTCATTTTAGCCATTTGTGACTCCCATTTCCCACCCTGTGCTTCCAAATTGTAGGGTGCAAGCTTCTCCAGTGTTTTAGGTATGCATTTTATATATCTAAGGCAAGCATGGGCATCTGAGTCAGAAGCTCTGGATGCACCTGCAGTGGTGCTGGAGGTGCCTTCCCCAGTCCCCATACCAAGCCAACATATGCCAGATAAGCCAGTAGCCAGACCTGAGAGGGGCACAGCTTGCTCCTCAAGTAGGAATATGGACATTTCAGCAGCACTCACAAAATCTAACAGGCCTCTGATGCTGAACTTTCCCATCCCTGTTTGTTCTGCCAGTCCAAGCCTGAGCTCTGGGGACTGCTCTGTGGTTGAGCCTGTTCAAGATCTTTGACTGCCAGTCCAAAAGTCCTCACCAGCACAAGAGGAATCATGAAAACTAGTGCCACAGGAGGAGGCCCTCTCCCATTCTTGCTTCTGCTTCAGCAGCTGTGAGGTCTGGGGTCAGTGCTCTGGAGCAGGGACCACAAGTGCTTTTTCTCAGTGACTGGAAAAAATTTTTCCAGTTGTGTAAGCAGCTGGAGTGTCAGTCACGGCAGGGGGATAATTTCTGGTCAAGTCCAGATTGGTCCCATTGGCTGTCCTTGTTAAAGAGAAGTGAATCTGGAAGAGGAAAGGAAGGAGGAAAGGCAAGGAATGGAATGAAAAGCCTGCTTGCAGAGCATCTCCAGAGGCATTCCTGGTGGTGGAAATGTCTTCCCTTCAGCTCTCCGTCTCTCATTACTGACAGTGGAAAATACAAGAGCTGCCAAGCCAGAGGCTCAGTACAGCCAAGATAGGAAACCTTATTAGAGAGACAGATGGTGATTTCTATAATCTGAAATCCCAGACTGTAAATACTTTGGGATAGAGCCCTGTGCTAATGCCTGACAGCAGCTGGATCCAGTTTTCTGTGCACAGCTGTTCCTTGGGTGGCTTTTGGTGGATGGTGGGTGCTACCAGGACAAGGTGTGCTTTATGGAAGGAGATGGATCCTTTAAACCCTGCTGGAGATACTTCATGTCAGAGTTTTTGTACTTTCCAGCTGAAAAGTGCTTTCAATACCTGAGGACAGTCACCTCATATTTAGAAGTTTTTCCTAGCCTGACAAGATTCCCAAAGATGTATGATTGCAGCAGACCAATAAGGGGGAAAATCTGTATCTTGGGAGCACAGGTGACAATTTGCTGCAACTTGTGGAAGAAATGATAAATGTCTCTCTCTCTTTATTGCTTAGCTTCGTGGCTAAATCTGCTAAACCAAAACCGAATTTTACCCTTAGATCTCACAATTTATTTATTTATGTTCATCTGGCATTGCCTTGATCTTCAAAGCAGGAAGGTATATCAAAGGAAACAGAAGGTTTGACACCAATTACTGCTTCTGGATGCCATTCACTGAATAAAGATGGAGTGTTAATATTTACACTGAAAGTGAAGGAGATAAAACCCAGGTACATCTAAGCCTACAAATAAGCCCTTCTGTGTGGGCAGAGATAAAGCCAAAGAAAAAAAATTGAAATTACTATTGCAAAAATCCCAGACACCTTCTGAAATGTTGGGTTGTAGACAAAGAAATCACAGGAAAAACACCAAAAGAGCCTTCTGGAAAAGCAAATCAGGCTCCTGCTTCTCGGGGGTAGTGCCTGGTGTTTAGGAGATGGTCTTTTGAAACAAGCTGCCCCACAGAAAGAGTTAACATCCAAATTTCCCCACATTTCACCATGAGACACTTGACTTACATTTTATTCTCTTGAGTCTGAAGCCAGCAGTTCAAACACTTTTCTCTATGTCCCTCTCTGCTCCTCTTCATCCCGTGGTTCTCCCTATTTTCTTCCACCCCCCAAGTCCTTCCCACAGCTTTATTGGCTCATTGACCTGAGAACCCTCTCAGTGAGGCAAACACCCCATTGCACAAGTCCTTGTGGGGTTGTTTGGATTTCAGAAGCAAATTTGTGGAAGAGGAAGGTAGGGAGGAGAGGCAGAAGTTTCACTAGCACTGGGAGGGTGCACGGCACAACGAACAACAAACCTGCTCTTACTCACCTGTTTAAAAAAGAAAAGGAATCTTCACAGCATTTTTCCTGGAAACACCAATTTAGTAACTGCAAGTGAGGCTATTCTAAAATTCCTGGTCCTAGGGCATTGCATAGGAGGCTGTTTACACTGTGCACTACTTCTAGTTAATCCAATTTACACAATGAAACCAAAGCATTTAATGGAGTAAATTCTTGTTTCTAGTTCTAATCTCATTCTTCAGATTAAATTCATAAGTCTGCAGTGCCATGTACAAATCACAGTTACACAGTGCCTTTTAGTGAGTTAAAAGGTAAATGGCTTTATAGTATTGATTTGGAAGGGATTTTCTTAACAGCAAGTAGCTTTTAGAACACTCACTCAAATCAAGCTTTCAAAAATTGAAACTCTTGCCTGACTTTTGGGGTTTTTTGAAGGTATAGGGGCTTTTCTCTTAAAACCATAGTTTGCTACATGAACTTAATTCAGGTGAAGTTTCCAGCCTTTGTAGACCATCTCTACCTTTCAGCTATGGAGAAGAGGTGAGGCTCTCCTAGAGAAGACCACAGTGTTTCTGAGCCACATTGTACCTGAATGTTTCTCCTTGGAGGAGAACCAGTCTTATTCCAGGCAGTGACTGCCTGTTTGGGGATAAATGTTCAGAAGTCTGATATTTCCTGACTGATAGGATGTCTGTGCTGGGCTGAAGAAAAATCCATCAAGAATTTCTTTCTCCAGTTCTCCAGGTGGTAACTGAGGATATTCTGGTATTTTAAGCCTGGCTGAGAAAGGTCACTGTGGCTGTATTATATTGGCCAGGAGGGAGTGTGTCAGATTTGCAATTTGTGAAACAGATCTTTTGTCATATGTTTTGTAATTCTTTGCTTAATGTTGTGTATCTGGTCATCAGGCACATACATTGCAATCAATTTCATGCTGCTTTTCTATCAAGAAGGAGAAAAGCCATCCTAAGGGACCAAGTGAGGACATAAAATGTTAGTCACATGTATGTGTGTTTTGAAATCATAGCTGTGATCTGGAAGTTACCTAAGAAACTATATATTATCCCACCCAATCAATAAACTAGGAAAAGAACTCACTAGTAGAAAAAACGCTCCTCGAATTGTCTGTCAGCTCTAAAACCTCCCTAAAAAGGAGGTTTAAATGGAGGTGTAATTAGGAAGCTGGAAAGTATAGAATTAATGTCTGTATAAAACAGGTACAGAAGGACAACCTGCCTATGCCATCGGGAAGCTGCAAACACACTAAAGCAGCGCTTCAGAGTCAGTGGCCTGAGATCTGATCAGATTTATGAGGGGTTTAGAGAGGCTGCTCACTGCACAGCATTGCATAGGATCTTATTGCACTCTTCAGCTGTTTTATGACAACAGATGAGGTCTCCAGTGGCTGGACCTGCCGTGTTTTGGCTGTCCCAGTGTTGTCCAGTTTGGTTTGCTTGGATGTTTACTCTTTTCCCTATTTGCTCTATTCTCTTGCAGAATAGCTCAGAGCTCAAAATGGCTTAAAAAGCTTCGTGAAGTTTTCATGTTTTTTCACAACCATCAAGTTTCAAATTAGAGATGAGTCATTAAACAAGAGTGTATTATTTGTACACTTAACGTGGTAGAATTGTACACGTCTCTGTAATTAGCCATAAGCACCCAAAATTACAGCTGTAACTGTGCATTAACTGGAGGACACGGCTCTGATCGAATCATACATTCACAATTGTATTCATTCTTGCTTAGATTTCAGAGCCTGTTGTCCAGATGGGCTTTGCTGGGCACCTAATTAGTAGTTACTCAAAAGCTCCTGCTGTGAACTGCTTCACAGCCTTCCTGGCATCCTGGCAGCTGGGTACGTGTTCCTTGACTACATGGAGATGAAGGCACAGGAGTTGAAGTAGATGTTTTATCTCCTTTATGCATCTGCCATAACTAAAACAGCTTCCAAAATAAAATCAGCTCAGGGTGCATTGGTTATCTGACTTCTGTGTACTGAGCAAAATTAGTCTTGCAATGTGTAAGTGAAAATACAGCCATGTGTTAACGGCAGCGATCGCATAATGTATTCTGAGATGAACTCACTGTTTTCTCTTTCCTTTCCAGATTTTGGCAATCATTTCCATCATGTTTATTGTACTATCTACAATTGCCTTGTCCCTTAACACACTTCCTGAACTACAAGGCGTGGATGAATTTGGGCAGACCACAGATAACCCCCAACTTGCCCACGTGGAAGCAGTGTGCATTGCATGGTTTACAATGGAATACCTCCTGCGGTTCCTCTCCTCGCCTAAGAAATGGAAGTTTTTCAAAGGCCCCCTGAATGCTATAGATTTGCTGGCTATCTTACCCTACTATGTCACTATCTTCCTCACTGAATCCAACAAAAGTGTACTTCAGTTCCAAAACGTACGACGAGTGGTCCAAATATTTCGGATTATGAGGATACTCCGGATTCTAAAGCTCGCCCGGCACTCAACGGGTTTACAGTCCTTGGGGTTTACACTCAGGAGGAGTTACAATGAGCTTGGATTACTCATCTTGTTTTTGGCCATGGGCATTATGATCTTTTCCAGTTTAGTGTTTTTTGCAGAAAAGGACGAGGATGATACAAAATTCAAGAGCATCCCAGCTTCCTTCTGGTGGGCAACAATCACCATGACAACAGTAGGCTACGGAGACATCTACCCCAAAACTCTTTTAGGTAAAATAGTAGGAGGACTGTGCTGCATTGCTGGTGTGCTGGTGATTGCTCTTCCCATCCCAATTATTGTCAATAACTTCTCTGAGTTCTACAAAGAGCAGAAGAGGCAGGAGAAAGCCATTAAGCGCAGGGAAGCTCTTGAAAGAGCAAAAAGGAATGGTAGTATTGTTTCCATGAACATGAAGGATGCGTTTGCCCGCAGCATAGAACTCATGGACATTGTGGTTGAAAAGAATGGAGAAAGCATAACCAAAAAGGATAAAGTTCAGGACAATCATTTGTCTCCCAGCAGATGGAAATGGACCAAGAGAACCCTTTCTGAAACTAGCTCTAGTAAATCTTTTGAAACTAAGGAACCAGGATCCCCAGAAAAAGCCAGGTCATCTTCAAGTCCCCAGCACTTGAACGTCCAGCAGCTTGAGGACATGTACAACAAAATGGCAAAGACTCAGTCCCAGCCGAACCTTAACACTAAAGAGTCGAGTCAACCTGGAAGGCAAAAGGAAGAGCTGGAAATGGAAGCCCTTCCCGGCCCTATGGTGCCCCTGCTGACAACTCGCACTGATGGGATCGTTGACATGAGGAGCATGTCCAGCATCGACAGCTTCATAAGCTGTGCGGCAGAGTTCCCTGACACCGGGCGGTTCTCCCACAGCCCGCTCACCACCCTGCCCTGCAAGGGTGGCATTAACGTCATTCAGGAGCAGAGCAGGCCAGAGGGGAGCGGTGCCAGGTACGTGGAAATGAACCCAAGCTCCGAGGGCAGCCACCGTTCTGCTTTTTTCATTGAAAGTCCCAAAAGCTCCATAAAGGCCAGTAACCCTTTAAAACTAAGATCTCTGAAAGTCAACTTCATGGAAGAGGACACCAGCACATTAGTACCAGCATCAAATGTACTGAGGATATATCCAGACTCTCTCAAGAGCCGGGGAGCTGCTGCTGCCACAGATACTTCCTTACTCTCTGACAGATCTCTCATGAGCCCCGAAACCTCAATCTACACAACCGCGAGCGCGAGAACTCCCCCAAAGTCGCCGGAGTCACAGGCAGCCATAGCTTTCAACTTCCACGATGCTGGTATTCACAAATACATAGACGCTGACACTGATGACGAAGGTCAGCTGATGTACGATTCAAGTCCGCCCGGAAATGTGAGTCCCAAGTACAATGTTACAAACAGTGGCTATCTAAAGCAAAAGGACCATGTTTATAGAACAGAGAAGAACCATCTAGAAGCTGCTGCTTTACCCACCTCCCCTAAGCTGATAGGGCAGAACTGCATTTACTCTATGGAAGGTATCACTGGAAGAACCCAGGGCAATCAGGAGACTGTCAGACTAGAAAATCACATTTCCCCAGAAGTCCATGTATTACCAGGCAGTGGAGGACATGCTAACACACATGATCAAAGCATCTGAGGTGGGCTACAAAAGAACTTACTGAAAGTTTAAAGGAATGTCTTTACAGTCAACACAAACAAAAGAGCTTCTGCATGGCATGAACTTGGCTGAAACAAGCCACTTGTTTCTAAAAGTCTGGGGGAGGTCCAGTGTGGGTTTGTGAAAATGTCCTTCTCTGAAACAACTCTAAAGACATTGCCCACATCAGTCAAAAGTAAGGATTGCAAATCATGATCACACATTGATCTCCTTTCATGTTGTCCAGTGAAGCCAATGTGACCAAATATCCATCCATTCCCCTTGAACGCTAGAGCTCCTTTTGGAAATATTAACATCTGATTTGCATTAGTTCCATAAAGGATGCCAAGGCAGCCAGATTTGAACTCTGGAATAAATTGCTGGGGTTGGTATAAAGCTTTCAAAAACACAATGCTCACTGCTTCAGGGCAGCTGTTCCCCATCTACAGCTTTCTCTGATGGATATTATGTCTAAAGGTAACAGGGAACACTTGCATTATTGGAAAATCCGAGTGAAAACCATTTTAAACAAATAATGGTCTAGAGAAACCAATTATTAAAATGCTCTGTGTGTGTTTAACAATCCGATATCCTGTAGGACCTGATGTTTTCTTTTGAAATATCAGCAGGGTGAGTTGCACCACTTGTATCTAATCCCAAACATCCCCTAGGACATAGTGAAACTTGCACTGACCCTCTGCTAAAAGCCGGTACCTGCCCCAGGGCCAGCGCGTGGCCCTCGGGGGCCCACAGCCCACGTGGGAAGGTGTGAAGGAGCCATGCAGAAGCAGGACTCCCCAGGGGGCACCGCAGCCAGACCCCCTTCCCGGTGCCGGGGAGCGCAGGGCTGGAAGGAGAGCTCGGCTCTCGCCCTCGGTGGGGAGGGAGATGTGGCTGCGCTGCCCGCGGGGACGGTGAGCGCGGCCAGGCCCTCGGCACGTGCCGGGGGCGCCGGGATGGATGTTCAACCTCCCCTTCCCGCCAGCCAGAGTCTCGCCCTTGGCGTAGGAGAGGAACAGGTTGGTCCGAAGCTTTTTGCGCCCGAGCAGCGCAGTGAAAGATATGCAAGTGTTACATAAATATGCAAAAAGAGGGATTCATTAGTGACCTGTCCTGGGCCTGGCTGTGCTCCCTCTCGCCAGAAGGTTGGACAGGAGAGGCTCCTGCAGAGCCGTGGCGTGAAGCAGCTGCGAGAGGCAGGAGAATCAGGCCTGACGTTTTAATAACATCCAGTCATTTTTAAGTGAAACAAGAGGAAAAAAAAAAAAAAGAAAAAAAAAAAAAAAAAAAAAGATCTGACCATTTTAAGTGAACAGAACTAGCAGCCACCAGCCTAGGTTTTTAAAATATTATTGTTTCAATAAAGTTATGTCAAATTGTGTAGGAAATAATTTGTCTTTGGTTTTTAATCTTGGGGGGGGGAAAAGCACTTTACGTTGACTTTTTGTTGTCGTTGTTGCAATGCTGGAGTAGGATAGCAGAGTGTAACAATCAAGCACTTTAACCAAGCACTACTTTAATTTGTGCCTCCTGTTGTGACTGTGATTTGTTACACACCTGTAGCAAGTCACAACCTGTCCTGTGATAACTGTGATGGTAATCTTTTCCGTTGTTCTCTGTTTCTACTGTAAAACTCAACTGTAAATAACTGTCAATGAGCGTTTCCTGACCTATTCTGAGTTCCTGCCGGGGCGTGTAGCGATCTGCAGGCAGCAGGTCCGGGGACGAGCTGAGACACGGGACGCGGGAGCGGAGGCACAGGTGGGAGGAAGACCCCCCCCCCAAGCCGCTCAAGTCCACTGCGTTTTGTTCCTTCCTATTGTAAAACCAAGCCGTTGGTTAGTCCTGAATGTACCGTCTGTCCGTCCAGGCCGTGCCGCACTCCTGTCTGTAACCCTAGTGGTGAATGCAGCATGTACGGACAAAAGCAATAAGCACATAACCTGTTTTAGCAACTACTGTGGGTTGCGGTGAGAGCTTTGTTAGGTGTCTCCTTGGCACAAGCTGTCCACGCGGTGGAGTGACTCTGCTCTGCTCAGCCAACCCCGGGCGGTGGGACCAGCCGAGGGACCCGCTCAGAGCCGCCCTGGCAAGGCGAGACCCTGGGAAGGCGCGAGTAAGACCTGAGCCACCCCCTCGGGAATTGCCCTCTGGCAGCGAGACACCTCGTGCCACACAGAGAGTGACGCGGAAGGTACCCAGAGAGAAGCCCCAGGCACCGTGTACTCCACAGGGTATTTACACAGGGCCAGTTCCTGAGGTTTGTTCGCTTTTACTCCGCCTTCCCGCAGCCTAAACCTCTGCTCCTCTGAGTGGGCTCTTTGCCTGGTGAAGGACTTTAGGATTTGGCCATAGTAAATACAAGTGTACTTAGAGGAACCGACGTGTTGCTGAGATCCTAGTTAAGATTGAGTTGACATGAAAAAGTAAAGTGACTTTCCAGCAGATAAGCTTTAAATACTGATTTATTCTGTGGCTTTCTGAGGCCACGAAGCAGCATCGAGAAATCTTAAGGAGAACAGTCTTAACATAATCTCTGTGTTTCAGTGATCGTTCATGTCTGCCATCTGCACAAATGTAAAAAGAAGAAAAATCAGGGAAAATTTTTTTGATAAAGTAAGTAATAGCGATTTCCAAGTTAAATATTTTTAGAGCTGATGCTTTCATGTGGAAAAAAAAGTCATATTTTACATATCACAAAAGTGAACATATTTAAATATAGCCATATAGTGTAGTATTTACCGCACTCTCATCCAAATTGATGTATTTGGTTTATAGATGGCACTGACAAAAATGTATAGATCAACAATTCTATCATTTTTTATCTGATAATCAACTGGTGCAACTCTCCTTGTAACCAAAGGCCCTCTGTCTGCCTTGTGTGATAGCTCATGACACACACCTTATGTCATCTATTTAGTCCTACCTTTAAAGTAGCATTTTATTGAGTCACTTTTGAAAGCCAAATTCAAAAGTATCATTAAAAATCTACCTTTTAAGTCTGAATAGCCAAAGTCCTATAGATTTCTTATAGAAAGCAAATAATTAAAAATTAAGCATATAATATGCTTGAAGAGCATTTCTTTCTTATTTGTGTATGAAGATGTAGCTCTCATTTTGTGCCCAATTAAAAAGGAAGTATGTTTAATTTATTTTAATGAAATAAAGTCTGAATATGAAATATGTATCTATATATGTGTGTGTGTGCATAATACACATATATATAATGTAAGCACTGGGAAATCTACTCTGACCTAAAGCTTTGATAGACTAAATCTGTACTCATTGCAAAGGAAAGGCAGTGCTTTGAAAACATAATGCTCACCAAATCCTATAGGCCCTAGAAAGACAATTTAATTTTATAGTTTGTTTGATCCACGTTTCCCAAAGTTCATAACAGTTGGGGAAAATAGGTAGTATCTCCTGCATCAAGCTAAAGTGTGCAGTTTAATCACTGATATTTGGCATTCAGGTCTGCAGATTTACTGTGCACCATGTATCAAGCAAGCTGACAGAGCCTCACCTGCTGCTGCAGAAGACTTCATGCTTGAAAGGACTGTGTGTGATGTCTGCGCTTGCTTGTATCCTACACCATCAACATTGTTTTTAATACATATCTATAAATATATATATAGAACATATATATATATGTGTGGAAGGAGTGGGTGCAGTTTTCTTAACCAGGAGGCAAAGATTCTTTGAGTTTTAGCTTTGAACAGAGGAAAAAAGCCGTGACATTGCAGTAGATTTCTCAGTGCCTTTTCTTAGAAACTTCACCTAAGCACACTTATGGGAAAAAAATAAACAAAAAACAGAAAACAACCCAAAACAAAAGAGTCTCCTGTGAAATCCACATTTTTCTGAAAGGTTTGAGAGTCAATAAAGGTAGAAGAAAGGAGAAAAAAAAAAAAAAAGAGAGAGAGAGAGAGAGGAAAACAAAAGCCGTGGAACGCACATTCCCTTCCTGAACATGCCGTGTGTCAAATGCCGGGGAATATCCGCCTGTGCGAGTCACGCAGAAACACATCCGAGGCCGTCGGTTTCTTTGGCAACTATGGCTGTGATAAACTGTAGCCTTTTCTTCCCTTGCAGCTAATAAGATACACATTTCTAAGGAAAACAGTTATTCTCTTCTGTAAAACTGTAATGTATTGTTAATATTTGTACCTATTGTATATTTATGTCTTGACAGAATTATGACCGGTACAGTTTATAGTAAATAGCAAGGGTATGTAAAACTCATTGCAAAGACAAGGTTTCTAAAGCCACGTTCTCTCTCTGTTGGTAAGCTCCACATAACGTGATCTCCACTAGTTTTCAACACCTCATTTTAAAGTGAATTATAAAATTACTGAATAACGTAGTTGAGCGATGGAGAACCATGTGGCACCAGTGCCCTCCTGCACAGCCCAGCCAGGAACGACATGGGGAGTTGGGCTTCCCCGGTCACTCCAAATTAGCTCCAACCCCTTCATGTTTGGTCAGTCATTTCTGCTTACAGTAATCAGACTGAACTGGTGTTACCTTGGGTTGCTTTTGGATCACCCATCTGGGGAGAATATGGCTTTAAATAGTTCTTGAATAAAGTACAGAAGTTCTAGTTACCTCTGTACCTCCTGCTTGCCATTGTGTTGGCTTTATAAGTATCTGATGTATGGAAAAGTCATGTGACTTTCATGCATTCCAGAGTAGTCTATTTTTCTGTTCAGATTTAAAAAAGAAAAAAAATTATATATATATATAAAAATATAAATATATATCTGTATTTTTAGCAAATTTATAATAGGGCAATCAAGTCAGATTTCTTCTTTTTGTATTACAGAATAATATATTAGATGCTTTCTTGATGTTCATTTACACAGCTGATCCCCCAACCTTTTTTTGTTGTCATTATTCTCTTCTGTTCTGATCAACACCTGCTACATCCCTCCTGGAAATGTGTCTGCGAAAGGTCACGGAGTTTGTCTGATGTTGTCATGTTTTTGTATTTTCCTGTTTGTGGTACTTAAAACTAACCAGGGACTGCCTATGGAAACTGAGATGTTCCTTCTGAGAAACACAGAGCGGGCCAGACCCTGCCCTCGGTGATGGCAGGGGAGGTGCCAGCCAGCACCACTGGCTGCAGTGTTCTTCCAGATTCACACTGATTAAGCTGAGAACATAAAGAAGAGACAGGATATGAATCTGACTGTCCTAATAATTACGATGGAGTTTGGGATAAGCATCAAAAGTCAGGCTCTTATTTTAAGGCAGTGACCTGACAATGCTCAGGCAACGCTCTCACCTTCAGGGGATGTTTTTCCTGGGTTAAAACAGAAGTGTCAAGACTTTTATTTCCCACTGGCCTTTGGAATTTTTATTTTTGGTCTCAGAGAAAATCAGGAGATGAGAAAAAATTATGGATGAATGAGAAACCTGAATATAAACATTCAGAAAGGGACCAGATTTTCATTTAGTTATGGTCAAGTTTGTCCATGTACCTGCTTACTTAATGATCCTCCTTGCTCCCTTTACAGCTGTACCCTGGCAGAAACTGAATAAAAAGTCCATGAGATAAATGTGCATCCTGAAGCTATCTCATGGCCTGGTGAAGTTTAACATGATGAAGAGCTTCAGACCTGCTCTGTAGCTCTACACAGACATCTCCTTTTGAATGCACCCACTAGTCTGGTTAGTGACCATGTTTTTGCCAAAGATGGAGTTTTGGTTCCGTTTCCTTTTGTTTGCTTGTGTGATTTTCCTTACACGTCCACCACGGCAGCCAATAAACCTGAAACATATTTAATTTGGGAAAAAGTGTGTTTCAGAAAGTCCAGATACCACTCAAATCAACAGAATAACCAGTAGACCCAATTTTGCATGTTATTAATTATCAGCAAGGCCTGTTCACACATGAAATAAAGGTGGGTAGGATTTTTCTGTTCTGGGAAGCAATTAATGCAATAGCCCCCCCACATCTATCATCAACAATCACGTAAAAGGTCCCTTCGAAAGGCACCTTCCATGTCAGCAAGTTTGTTTGAGCACAGTCAACAAAACCATAGAAAGCTTCCAGTCACACCAGTCTTAACTTCAACCTCCCACACCAGGACAGGAACACCCCAAATACCAACCAGCCCTCTGAAGAAGAGATGTTTCTTTTCCAGCATGTGTCTCATACCCCGTGCTGATCACATTTAGGCTCTTGCACTGAAACTTTGTCTTGGCCAGACAAAGGAAACCTTAGGAAAGCTGAAAGTCTGCATCCAGGGTGTGTATCCCCTTTGTTGCTGGTGTTACCTAAGCCACAATAAGTGTCCTTTGACACCAATGGTTGGGTGCCACAAGTGTTCGTATCTGTAAATATTACTCAGAATTTTGCTTTGCTTGATTCTGGCTTCATCGCACAAGGAATTTTCAGTCTAGAGGCTTAGAAGAGAAAGCAAAAGCTTCCTTTTTCTTTTTAACTAGAAATAATACTATTGATGCTCTGTAGGACTGAACAAGGATTAACCTTTGTTTTTAAAGGGGTCTTTTCAAGACTACAGTGAGACTTCCTTCAGAAATTAATAATCAGGTTGGACTCAGTACAAAGACCCCTCCAAACCAGAGCTTCATGGAAACCAGGGAGCCAAATTTGCATGAAATGCCAAATTCTTTGCTGCTGTAAGTAAAAGCCCATTTAGACCAGTAAAGAATTTGGACCCATATCTCTAAAAACTAATGGAAAACTAATAGCTTTGTATGACCTCAGGGCTGGAGGTGTCTGCCCCCGGTACCTCCAAGGAAACCAATGGGGTGAGAGAGTGGGAAACCGAGGCAGGTCAGTGAAAGCCTGGGAAAGGAGCAAATCCTTCTGTCAAGAGGATGACAAACATGTCTTTCCAAACTTGACTGAGCATCCGTCCACGTCAGCTCGCTCGTTGTGGACTTGATGCCACAGGTGGCATCCCAAATTCACAGGTGACTGTCCCTACAGCAGGACCACAACCCCAGCCCCACAGTTCAGTGCTCTCAGCCCTTGGTCCAGGGGCTTTCTGATGCTGGGAGGACACTGCTAGCACATGGGCCAATGGTTACCTTGGATTGTGGCACAACCTCTGGGCCTGTTGGTAACCAACATTTGAGGCAATTCACCCATCTCTCTATTTCATTCAGGAGCTCTGCCCTTTTATGACTGTCCTTCCTGTGACGTTTCACTGCCTCCACGTACCATTAGCCACGTACCATTGGCTCCTGCAACCCCTGTGATTCATTTTGTTTATGTCACTTCTGTTGGCTTGTGACAAAGAAGAACATTTTTCCCCCTTTCTCTGGCTTTTTGGTGGTGGGTGTAGAAAATTGCTTTTGCATTGAACCATTCCCCACTGGTGTGCTTTGGGGGGGTGGGGGAGCGGCATCTCCATGTTACTTTGAATTTTGAAGCCATGGTACTCTACTCAGAAAGGCCAGCCACAGCTACCAACCAAACTCGCTTTCCAACTAGATTAGCATTAAAAAAATACACCCCAACTTCCTGCAGCAGAATCCTGCACTCTGATCAGCCAAGGGAAGCAGTTCCTGAAAGGAGAGAAAACATCAGAGGGGCACTGTTACAAGTGCTGATTAACAACGACTCCATGCCCAGAGGAGGACCCAGGGCTGTGTTGCATATTGGGGCTGCTCCACATTTCCCAGGGCTGGGAGCAGCCTTGGGCCCTCCTTTTCCAAAAGCCCAGGGCAGCTGCTGGACCTGCAGGGCCCCCAAGCCCAGACAGGGACTTCCCAGTGACACCTCCAAAGGGCAGAAGCTCAGCATCCCTAGTCACTGAAGGATAGGAAAGCTGTGGGGTTCCCTTTAAAAGAAAAATGTGATTTTTAACAACAAATAAAAACTGGAAAATGTTTTTCCTGTGCCTCTGCTGGTACATGTAGATGGAATTGCTTTTGTGGCTGGAAATTGAAAGCGACTGACCCAGAAAGGGCAGACTGGGACCGGTTTCTCCCTTTACTTTACACTTTGGTTATTTTATACCCTGTGCAATGGGGAAGCAATGGGGAACCCAGGTCAGTGTGTCTGTAAGGAAGGGCAGTGCTCTTGCCTGACAGCCCAGCAGATCCTGCACCTCTTGCACAGTCCCTTCATTGGGTTCTATTGGACCCACCCAAGGGGCAATGGGCCAGCAGATGTTTTCTCCCCTTTTGAGAAATGTTTCCCTGCCCTGGCACTTTGGGGTGATTACAGCAACATTAGCCATATACTAGTGTACTTAGAGTCTTACATTTTTTGTAACTTTGATTTAGTCATTCTTTGTTGAAGTTTATTGACCTCTCCGGTTGTTTCCGTAAACAAATTATTTAAAAAAAAAATAAAAATCCGTGTCTTTATATGCATGTAGTAGTATGAAACTGTGATCAATGTGTGACATTCAGAAACTGTACTGTCTTGTAAAATATGTCCAAATGTCTAAGGGTTTTAAAGCAATGGTCCCTTACTACAGCCTACAGAAATAAATAAAAAGGTATGGATAAACCCAAAGCCTTTACTGCTCTGTTTCATGGTCACATACACTGGCCAAAAATACAGCTCCGATCAGCTGGCACTGAGCTTCAGCTGCAGCTCGTTGCAGTTGACAGCAGGTTTAGACATCTGTTATTTGCTCACGGAGAAGGCCGTGATTCAGGAAAGCAGTGCCGAGCCTGACACCTCCTGTTGTAAGTCTGACAGATCCAGTGCATAAACCTCCAGTCCTCACCCTACACGGACAAAATCCATCCACATCTCCTGGCACCTGGGACCAGGGCCTCGCCCAGCTCCTCTGGGGATGTGCAGCACACACGTGGCCCCTGTCACACACGTGGCCCCTGTCACACACATGGTCCCTGTCACACACATGGTCCCTGTCACACACATGGTCCCTGTCACAAATGTTCTCTCTGTCACACACATGGCCCCTGTCACACACATGGCCCCTGTCACACACATGGTCCCTGTCACACACGTCCGTGCCACACTGGCCATGCAGAGGAATCGGCATCTTGATCATGTGATTGTGCAGATGCAGAACCAGATGCAGATGGGAGAACAGCCGAGGTTTGGAGACGAGGAGCTCTGGGTGTGAAAACAGGGCAAACAGGCTGCTTTGGCTGCTATTTGAGACAGAAATGGGTTTCTTGTGAGAGCCACTGTGGTTTTCTGCTCCATCAGACTGGGTTGGTTAAATTATGCAAATCGTGAGAGCAAACATAATACAAACTGCTTGGGAATATTTTCTTTGAGTTTATGACATCAAATGTTGTTTTATACTGGAATGCAGTAAGAGTCCTCAAAGCTCTAACCTGAACCATCTGATTTATGGAGACTGATATATGGCCATTAAAAAATATCAAAAGAACAAGTAAACACACCTTTCTACCCAGACCGTACATGTGGTTGTGTATTCCGCACTCCACAAACCCTTACAGGCTCCTGCACAGACAAATCCAAGGAAAAAGACTGAGTGCACAGTTCTGCATCTTATTTCATGCAGCCAACACACTTGCAAATGGAAAACAGAAAGTTAAATGCACAAGTGGACAAACCTCACAGAAGTCCATGCATTTAATGGTTCTGCATTTACTTGTGTTCATTTTCAGTTTAGTTAAGACCTTTATAAGAAAAATCTAATTGATCAGTTGGCTGTTTCATTGCAAGTAATGACAGTGACATCTACCAAGACTAAGGCACTGAACTTGAAGGGAAATTTACAAATGAAGAATTAGAAAGTGGGGAGATTCCTATAACATCTTCCTCTTTCACTTTCTGCTAATGGCTTCTCTTGTTATCTGCCTGCCAGCCAGACCATGCAAGGTCCTGAGTTATAGCCCAGTATCTGTAATTAGACTGTCCAAGGAGGTTTTCTCTATGAGCTGATTTACTTTATCAAGTCAATTAAAATAATGCCTGTCTGCTGAGGCGTGCTGGTTCATTCTTGTGTGCTGAATCTACAGATAGGAAATATTTTTGCCCTAGTTAACACACGCTGTGGAAACTTTCCTTCACCTTGCCTAAGCCCTCCACCCCACATCCCCTCAGCCCTGTGAGCTGCACGTGCTTTATGCCGAGCCAAGGCACTGACTAGGGCAGGTTAAAGTGGAGCACAGGCAGAAGGGGAAAGCAGGGATCCCCCCCAGCCCACATCTCCAGGGGCAGCTCAGCACTGAGCCGTCCCTGCCTGCTCAGCACCAGCCCCAGCATCACCTCGGGCACCAGCTGCCAAATGTTACTGGGGCCAACATCAGTACATTCAATTTTCTACCAACACCATATCTCATTTCTAGACTTTATACAGATTAATGGAATGCAGGAGGTTTTTTCCCTCCCTTTCTCCTTCTCCTCCAGGTCAGATCCTCAGACCATCTCTTCTCTCTTGGCTCCATCAGCAATGAGCTCACCAGCTCTTCCTTCCCACCTGAATGGATTTTCCTTTGATTCTTCTTATTTAGGTTAAACTAGGAACCTTTTTCTTTCTTTCTTTCTTTCTTTCTTTGTTACACACCTTCCTCTAAACCACCTACAAACTCCCTGTATCTGTTTTTCAAACACCCAGAGCAAGGTGGTGTCTGCCTGACACCGAGTCAATCGACAACAATCGACTGACAATTCACTGACAAAAATCCCAAAGGTTAATCAAACAAAACCATCTGGTGAAGGAAAGAGCACCTGAGTCAGGGCCCTGGTTTCAGGTTGGAAATGCAGGCACTAAGAATTAACCTGAGCTCTGTAAAACAAAAGCAAACATGCAACATTGCATCATACAGTTTAATCCCCATGTAATAAACAATGAATCCACATGGCTAATCTAATTTTTTAGATTTTTATCTTATTTATATCTCTATATTTATTTATATATCTATTTATTTTATAGATATATATCTATAGATACATAAAAGATGTATATCTAAATCTATAAAAGTAGATTTAGATTTAAAAACAAAAACATCATGATAGTTTATGTTTTGCTATATCCAGTGCCATTTTTCCACTGTCGGCAGACATGTGGTTAGCAATAATTGAAGCTCAAATGAATTGGTCTATGTGCAAACACAAAAATTGCATAATGTGAAATGCTGTTTTCATGCCTTGATGATAATTAGTCTTAAAATGAGCAGCACAGTGATGCAGCTCCCAGCACTGTCCTGAACTGTGGAGAGGCAAACGCCTGGAGACACTGAGATGAAGATTGATCCAGGCATGAGAAAGTGTAAATTTAAATTATTTAGCAAGAATGAATTCCCATAGATGCTCATGGTCTAGTTTTACTCCTCTTTACAGGCAGATTTAATAGGCAGATGATACAATAAACTGGAGACATTATTTTCTCTGACAAAAACTGATGAAGCCAAAAAAGCCCTAAAAATTAAGTTCCCAAAGTGCAGGCATCTGAGACAGAGCTTATCCAGAGCTCACCCCACTGATGGGAAAGTCTGGATGTCCAAGAAATTTAACCACTCTAGATGGCAACTAAATAAAAGAAAATCATGGTATGAGACAAAGGATTAATTAAGTAGAAGGTATAGAAACCCTTTTGGCTAATGGAATAAAGCAAAAACAATTAATTCCATACATTGTCCTCTGTAAGATTTTCTTATACTTGTTCCCCAAACAGACAGTGCTGACCACCTGGGGTAGGGAGAGGAAAGAATCCTGTCTTGGTCTGTTGTGTTATAGCAGCTGCATCCAAACTGCAACACAAGCTCCTGCCAAATAATGTTACCATTGCTCTAACTCTGCTTTGCTCCGTTGTTTGTTGGTTTTGGGGGTTTTGTTATGATTAGCCATTAAGAGCCATGAGGCTGTTGGAATAGAGCTATTAACTGCTATCTAATAATATACAAAACATTTGACCACTTTCTGAAGGTCTAATTGACCAGAGGAATCCATGGGTTTCTCTATTTATTTGGTTTTCACATCAGCAGTTTTGGTTTCCATTAGCATTTTCTAGCAAACAAATATTCTTGAGGCATTTCGGTATGGAGGGGAATGGCTGCATGGAAAAAGCAGACCACCAGCTGCTCCACTGGGAACCCAGCAAAAAGGAACAGCTGATTTCCTGTTAATGTAAATGAGCTCATTAGCTGAGATTACTTCAGACCAAGTTCAGCAGTTCAGAGCCTCTATTCCAGGAAAAACAGGATTTATGTAACAAAAATGAAGAGAACGTGAAAAAGGATTCTCCAAGTGCCTGTTTCCCGACTAAAAGCTTTTGCTCTCCTGGTGTCAGGGGGGATGAAGGGAAGCTGGGATAGGACACACTGGGCCATACTCAGAGCTGCAGTAAGATGTTATAGACACGGAGGTACTTAAAGAGAATTTCCAGGACACCAAGTGCTCCCAGAACATGCGCCCCGTTCCTTGCCCTTCTCTTCAGTGCCCCTGTGCGTTCACCCGCAGAGAACCGGGGAGAGCCGGGGCAGGGAAGGTGCCCTGGGCAGTGGTGGAACCCGAGCCCGGTTCCAACAAGAGCAAAGGGGGACAGTGCAAGAACAGCCCAGGAAAACACAGGGAGAGGCTTCTCAAGTTCAAGGCGGAACAGATGAGCGGGGCTGGGGTGTTGGTTTGCCCCCCTCTGGACACACAGAGCTGCCCGTGAGCCTGCTCAGAACAGTTTCCCTTCCACAGTCACTCTCCTGGCCGGTTTTGAGACCAGCATCCCCCCCAAGCCAAGGTGCTTATGCCAGGAGAGGCTGGGGGTATTCCCAGGGGTGGGATTACAGACTTCCACCTCCCAGGCTGCTGTTTGAACTATCAAGCATCCTTCCAGGAGGGGGAAGCTAAAAAACCTCTGTTGAAATACAAAGCCCACACTCAGAACATACAAAGTGCATCTCTCCTGTTGTATTTCCCCCATTTGCTCTCCCTTCAGAGAATAATCTCCCAGAAGCTTTGCAGAAGTTTTTTCACTATCATTCTCTGCCTGAAACCAGAATTTTCTCCACCATGGGTGACAAAGCCTGGTGCCTCTCTTTTCTTTTCCTGGCTGCTACTTAAGGTATAAGATCCATATCCCTAACACAAACCATGCTGGGACTTCTAATTGGGTTTTCCTCCCACTGTAACTCCCTCTACCATCTGTTTCTCTCTTTCTCTCAGATGACACATCCCTCAGTCACTGAGCAGTGCCATGGGAAGCCAACCCAACCTTGGAGACTCAGCCAGAGCAGCACCTTCCCTCTTCCCCATGCCCCTGATGGCCACCAGCCTCAGCTCTGAGGGCAGAGGTGGGATTTCAAACCACCACCTGCCCCCTGGGAACAGGGAGGGGATCAGGTGCTGGTGGATCACTGTATTCCAGTGGATCATTGTATTCCAGTGGATCACTCTATTCCAGTCCACGTTCCTGGCTGGGTTTTACCTCCAGATGGGCTGTAAGGGTTCCTTCAAAAAGGAGGCAGAAACCCCAGTGTCTCTGAAGCCCAGAGCTCGGTGTCTCTCAGCAGGGCTGGGGGCCCACCCTGTGTTTTTAAGCAGCAGCAGAGCTGTTTAACCTCTGACACAAT